TCGCCACATTCAAGCGTGCAGCGGAGAGTCTGAGATTGAGGTCGATCTCGCCAGATGTGGGGCAGCCGCCGGACACTCATTGACAAACGAGGGAGGAAAGTTGAAAGCGCGGCAATGGAATTTGGCTAGGGTAAGGGAGGAGTAGACTCAGTGGTTCGCGGACGCAGAGCGCGGTCAACAACGACTGGACGCGATACCTAAATGAGTTGCAAGGAAGCGCAAAACGCGCTCGAAGGATGGCCGCGGTTTATGATCCGCGGTGACGACATCAGTCACGTCACGCTTTTCTTCCCAAGACCGCCACCACCACCACTGTTGGGCGCGCTCTGCGCTATCCGTGGTGCGGCAAGTCTTGCGTTTTGTCGACCGCGCTCTGCGTCGACAAAATACGCGAGGTATGGAAGGCGGAAGTCGTCCGAGCTGTAACAGGAGCTCATACAACGCTCTTTTCGCCGTCTCAGACAGTCCGCTGACCCTAATTTGGCCATGGGCTCAACCGCTAGAAAGGAAAAGCTAGCTCCCTTCAATGCCGATGGACCGCAAACACATCGAAAGGCATCTGAACTGGCAGAACGCTTCCTGCCTGACCCTTCCTGACGATCGCAAACATGGAACAATTAGGAGCAACGCGAGAGTTGCGATTAAATTCTGACCTACGTCATCGCCAGAACGACTTAAATTCGCCCCCTCGTTCGATTCACCCGCCATCCAACCATGCCCATCTTCTCCGCCAACTCTCTGCCGCATTCTCCCCTGATTCCCTTGGCCCTCCCTGGTCGCGGCAAGGAATACCCCGATCTGTCGTTGGCCCCGGGCCATCCTTTTGCTATCAAGCTCAAGGATGGTACCTTCGCTGACGTCTACATCTATCATCAAGACACGCCTCAGGCGGGACTAGAAAAGACTTGGGCATGGGAGCGTACTCTCACCATTCCAAACAAAACTGAATCAGAGTTGGTGGAATCAGGTAAGCTTTTGCTTTCTGCCATCGGCTACCTGTTCTTCATCTGTTCTAGGATGGCTCAGACTCAAAAGTGGCGACCTTATTGCGTCTCGCAGTTCTGCTGGAACTCAGCTCCCTCACAATGACGTTCCCATGGCTTGGGTCGTCGGCAAGTAAGTTTCAATGCGCGCTTTGCTGTTTTACCCATTTAATTGACCTCGTCTACAGAGAGCTCATTCCTCTCGCTACACTTATCCAACGTAACCATTTTCTGGGACCTAGCACCGAACGCACCTTGCAGCGCCCAGCGGTTCAAATTATCGATGGCCAACAGACACTTGTTGGCGGCATAGCTTTCGAACGAAGCCCGATTGCCAAGTCAGTCAATGACGCGCGTGCTTACACCCTCGGCACCTCGTATGAAGTCCAAACTAATGTGGTTGCGCCGACTGCCTCTGTCAAAGTCAATGTACTCAGTCCATCAAGGCATTCACCTCAGCTGCCATGTACTCTTTGGAGCTTGGCCCCGATGTCGTAACCCAACCTTTGCGTCAAGCTGCCTTGCTGCTCAACGTCCCGTCATACGCAACAGAGGGCAACTACGCATTTGGTACAACCCAACTAAACGTGGCTGCTGCCCAACGCCCTGACGCAGAAAACAGTGCGATCATTTTCATACCTCGTTTTTGGTTGACCAAACATTGTATCAGATTCTTTAGCCGTAGACCTCAGTTTCTTTGGTGGAGCTCACATAGACGATAAGGACAGTGTTGGCCGTTATACTCATATGATGGTGTTATCCGACATCCCTCCCAACTATACTCCCGGGTTCTTTTTTATTCTCGCAATTGGACGCGGCAATAACTCAACTAGAAGACCTCGTCGGGACGAATAAACGCCTTACTTCAGTGCGCGGGTTCCTCCGTTACTCTCGGTAGACGCGCCCTGACCTCATTGCTAGGCCCTTGACACGCAGAAACAACAATACGAGGGGCTTCTAGACGCGATGCGAACAACTGCAACTCAGAACGAAGGCGAGAAACGCCAGTTGGAAACCATGGTCAGCCACCTCCAGAATGAGCTGGTACGCATTTAAATTTGGGTTGTTCGGTCGTTAAGCTGACAACGAGAAGAACGAGGCCCGCATCAGGACAGCGGAGCTGACAAGGGCCCTTGAAAAAGAAAAGAAACGCCACAGGGACGACATGGCGAAAGAGAAGGCAAGCACAGACAACAAGTTGGCCCGCTCACCAGCAGAATTCCGCCGCAACGCAACGTTGTTTCGTTGGCAAACCTGCGCTATTACAACTATGCATCAAGCGGGCGTCGGTCAGAACGCAAATAACAGAGGCAGTTAGAGCATGGTGGACAATCGTTCATCCTCATAGATTGTAGACCCTCATTCATAATCAGTATCGCTAATTGGCACACATCTTGGCTGTAAGATCAAACCTCCGTAAAGCGCTGGGGCAACCGGGGACCTGAAATGAGGGACAGAAGTTGTAAGCCCGGTAAGCCCGGCAATTCAAGTTCGAGATTCAAGGGAGGAGAGTTGCGCGGAGGAGAATCCCAGAGGGGTTTGTGGACGCAGAGCGCGGTCGACATTTACTGGGGGCGATACCTACCCGTCGTTAATCCGCCCCTGAGTCACACGTCGCACTTTTCTTCCCAAGACCACCACCACTAGTACTGTTGGGCGCGCTCTGCGCCATCGGTGGCGTGGCAAGTCTTGCGTTTTGTCGACCGCGCTCTGCGTCAACAAACTACGCGACGTATGGAAGATATGATATGCAGAGCTTTTGGTGAGCGGTCGTCTTTCGCCCAAGTTGTAACATCACGCAAACCTATTGATCAGCAAAACGGTTTACACGCTTTACAAGAGCTAAGGCGATGGTCACTGCTTTCTCCCTGATATATAGAACGTTCTGCAACTGCAGTTCGGACATCATAGCAAGCGATGCGGGACTCGGACTTCGTTGTCTGAGATAGTAAGATGGCTTGGCTGTCACCCTTGCAAGCTACTTGACCGCAGTGAACCGGCAGTGAACACACCCACCACCCACCCCATTTTTGTGAGATGGCTCTACACCGTGACAAATGAAAGTCGAACTTTCCTCGACAAATATCATCCTGGCTAACTTAGTCCCACAGTCGCGTTCGACCTTGAACTTGATTCTCGTATCGAGGAGTTTCGTCTTGAGCGAGCGCTCATGCAAGAGGATATAATTTGCCTGCGGATAGCGAATGAAACCCTGAGTATGACGAATATTCACCTTGCGTATACCAAAGACCAGGCCTTAAACCATCTCAAACGGTCCGCCCAATGCAACAACAACATGCAATCGCAGCTGACACATACACGGCATATCTTGGATAATTTCCAAAGAGACATCAAGCATAAAAACTCGCAAATTGACGCAGGTGTTGTCTTTCCACTCAAGCACAAGCTGACAACGTTAACAGGCGCTAGCGTCGACTAATATCCACCTACACTGCTCCCGAAATGAGGCTTTGGCCCAAATCACATTGTTGAAAGCTGAGCTTCAGGAGCTTCGCGCCGAGCTGTCAAAGTTGGAGACGCTGAACGAGTCCCCGATCTGAGCAACTTGGAGAATACTACCATATGTGGTACAGTTGTAAATGTATATGTCATGTATGTTATTATGTCGGAAAAAACTCAGAATGACTGCGACGGCTCCGGATAGGTTGCAAGCCGTCCCAAGCCCCCGATAAGATGGCGGCTTGGGACAGACAGGTTTAGGCTCGGACAGGCTTGGGAGACCCGACTGGGCTCCCAAGCCGTCTCGATCCGGCTCGATATCGAAGGGATTTAGCTGGCTTACAATGTCTCCCAACTGAAGCACTCAAAAGCAACAAAAAAGCGGCAGAGGACTGTCGAATGCATCGGTGAAGCCACACTCGCCTCTGTCTTGCTCCGTGTCAAACAGCATCTAAATAGTTTTAAACAACTATTTAGATACTCTGAAATGCACCATAATCTGCTCATTCTGCGAGGCTCATCGTAAAGCAGACAAAGGCAAATCCGCAGCTTTACCAACCCAGCCCGCGATACCTGTGCTTTCCACCAATCGGCCTCCCAGCTCAACAACCTGAGAACGCGCCACATTTCCTCTTCGACGAGCATCATTTTTTTTCAATCCATCGGCGTTTCCGTGCCAAAGCTCGCGACCATTCGACACGCATAGCTAGAAAGAGATATGATGTAAAGATCCTGAATGTCGTCGTGAAGAGAGCTCTCATCGTCATCGAAAGCGCCAGCCGCAGTCTCACGCCATAGACAACTTCCGCGCCAAGTTCGTGGTCCTCTGCGTGGATTCGCGTGTTGTCTAGCCGGTCAGGAGGGCGTTTGTCCTCCGCATGGAGTGTTTCTTGGGTTGTGGGTCTTCCTGTGTTGCAGCTTGGCGGACAGACAAATGACCCGGCATCGCATTCATGGAGTACCAAACTGTGAATGCATGCTGCAAGGGTCATAAGCATGAGAGCACAACGAAAGGCGTCAAACAAAACCAATTTTGAACAAATGAATTCTTGTTGGCGAAGAAGCAAAGACTGAAATGCCCGGGCTTCTTGCGGTTCAGTGTAAAGCCATACATAGTCTTGCCGGGATTGGGAGCGAGCGAGTTGGTGAGAAAGATGTCTATAGAGTACATTCAATGGCAAAATCTCGTCTCGAGTAATTCACTCACGAAGATCGTTCTCGAAGCCGGCCTTGTAGCGATCATGCTCCATAAGTTCCTCGACTTTGCGAGCCATCGCTTGCACGTGGTTGACTATCGGTTCATCCAAATCCAAGTAAGTATGAGCGGAGTCGATGATGTATTGGGGACCATAGCCACGCGGATCATTGACTTCGGTCGCGTTTTGGAAGAAAAACAATCAATGATTAGGATCAATCTGCACAAACAAACGACCCATACCGATATAGTGATAGAGTTGGTCCTCCACCTTCCATGTAACCACAAGGTGATCAGCTCCGACGACGGACGAAACCACATCGCCTCGCTGTTGTTTCTCCAAGAACGCCTCTGCTTGAGAACTATTGAAATTGTGGAAGTTGGCCCCTTAGTTGGGGTGCTTGATTATCTTGCGAGTCCGGTCGACCTCCGCTCGTTTTTTCCTCGCCAACAAGTTTGTCGAGTTGGTACCTCCCGGCATCCCAAAACAAGTCGGGCAGAGTGCTCCGTTCGTATTGATCATCCGTTTGCCCATCGGAATTAACAAGGGTAAGGTGGACGAAGAATTCGTCGGTGTTGAGCGTTGAGCTCCGAATCACGGTCGTGATGGTTTGTCCTTTCTGAGGAAGGGTCTTCGGTGCATTGACCGAGTCATCTTCAACCGGTCCTTCGAATCCAGAGTTTAATCGGTCGCGCAAGCCGCGAGAGTTTGCCTGCAGAACCACAGCAGAGACAATGAGATGAGTGCGTAAGCTTTTCGTAGTCTCTCCGCTCAACATGGTGAGAACCTCGGGTCCTGAGAGGTAAGCGAAGGGTGATAGATTCTCTGCGAACAGTCGCATAAACTCGTTTGTGATGAGATCGAGAGTAAAGCGCTTGAGGTCGTAATTAGCTTCCTTAAGCTTTTCAGCGAACTTCGTCCAAATCAAGCTCCGAAAGTTTCCGTTCATTTTCTGGATTGTCCATGGTCAAGCCGACAACCCAAGACGGGTGCTTGTCTTGGATGTCGTCTTCATCGTAGCCAATATCATCCATAGCCATCTTGCGCGCAAGTTCGTAGTCCTCTGGGTGGATTCGTGTGTTGTCTAGCGGGTCATAAGTGTGCTCGTCCTCTGCGCGGAATTTTCCCTGGGTTTTGAGGTCTTCCTGCCGCGTAATTCGAATGAATCCGGCAGCATTCATGAACAACGACTTGGTCAAGAGTTCCGACTGATGAATTGTTCCCGATTGATGATGTTCTCGCCCTTGTAAAAGAATTAGACAATATCCACAACTAAGAGTTACAGTGTTTACCAAGCGCTCAATCATTTTCACAAGTTGCTCAGTTGCTGGGCCTGCGAGGACCAAGACCACAGATGGTAACAGCGTTTGGTAGTACGCGTCACCCACGGCACGATTGATGTCCACTCCAAATTTGTTGACTACATCGATGAGCACCCGTTAACAGAGCTCCTTCAAGTTCAAGAGCTCCGGAGAAGAACCAGAACCAGAGAGGAGGTGGTGGTCGCGTCTGTGATGCCAAATGAAGGGTACTTCAACAGACTCGATGAACAGTTGTCGCAAAGTATATGTCACAGCTTCAACGAGTTGCGGGCTGAAAGGGTTAAGCTCGCCGTTGGGGGTAAAATAGTCCAAGGCTTTCTTCTTGGAGACGCGCGGAGTCACCCAGATAGCGGCATCGTCAAGTTCGTCGGAAGAGAGATGGAGTGACTGGAGCTTTGGAAAGCGTACAAGACGCGAGTTACATGCGCTCAGGAGAATCCTTCACGCAAATAAGATCGTCATCTTCTGTTGGGAAGAGATTCTGTATTGTCGAGGGTTCGAGGACCTGAACGAGAGTTAATGGATAATTGTGGGGAAGGCAAGTTTCGCACACCCCATCCTCCATACCATAGTCGTAGTCATGCCCATCGTCAGAAACATCGTATATCTCAGGCTCTTGCCATGAATATGTCCATGAGAAAATGAACATGAGGCTTTAGGTGGAATCAAAAAACCTTGCATTTATGCCTGTGAGTTCTAGACGAGTACGAACCATCTTTCTCATAAGCTCGTCTAGGGCCTCTGCAACACAGTCTCCAATCGCGGTGGCCTTTCCTTTCCCGCAGAACGGGTCCGACGAGCGAGTTCCGTTGCAGGGCTTGCTGTTTTTTTTCTGGCAAATCTTTCTGGCTGCTGGGTGGTGTACGGTGCTGGGTTTGGGATCGAGGCGGCGTACAGTGCGCAGAATGGCGAAGCAGGCACTTGTTGGGCTGCAAGCGTAGTTCTGCTGCAGCAGGCAATTAGCCACGAGTCAACACGCGGCCATAGATCTTGTCGGAACTTGGGAGGGACTTCGGACAGCTGATTGAAGGAAAACTCAGAGAAAGTTCGGGTCAAACACGGAGAGATATCAAAATTAAAGTTGACGAGCAGATTAGCCACGAGTCAACACGCTGCGCTATGCGCGCACATGTTTCCTTCTATCCCAGACACAGAGTCGAAGCGCAAAGCGCGCTCTCGTTCATCCCCGGTTGGCGGCGCGTTGACCATCAGTCATGTCACAGTCATGTCACACCCATCCCCGTTTTCTTCCCAAGACCTCCACCACCGTTGGGCGCGCTCTGCGCCTTCGGTGGTAGGCCTTATTTCTGGTCACTGTTGGGCGCTCTGCGCCAACAAACCACTGGCACACATCGTAATGTTGGCTTCTGGTGAGTCGTTCTTAATATTTCGGCGTTTTGTTTTTCGCTGATGGTACTTTGCGGGTCTAGCTCGATGAGTCGCCTTGCCGTCGATTGAGAAATTGGGTAAGTCCTCATGTCTCTCGCAAGATTCAAGACAGGAACTCAATCTTCATATCCCAGCTCCCTAATCCGACGTGTAAACAGCTGGCGACGCTGCGGCCGAGACTTGGGAGTAAACTCTGACCTGCGTCATTATACAACTTGGCTTTACAAAGTGCACAATTCTCCTCCTCGACCGCTTCTTCCAACATCCACGAAATCTTCTTGGCAAGCCTTCTTCGTGTCCTCCATTCTTGCATCATTTGGGATGGCGTTTTTTGCTTCTCAGCGCCGCTTAAAATCGTCCATCCTTGTGAAGGTCGAGGAGGAATGAGTTAGGTATGTGCTTCAGTTTGAGCATGTCAAGGTCTGATAATCGATACTAGCGCTAGCGGTCTCACTCAGTCCCATCGACAAAAATCCAACCCATTGGCGTCGTGTCTTCCCCCCACGTCTTCATTGACGGTCATCATCACTGGGTCAGCCAGACACCAGCAAACTGCACCCTACTCCCACGATTTTTGAACTTCTGGCAATGTATGCGTCTACAAGCTCGATGCTGTTCCCATAGCGTCGCCCACAATTGTCGAGACGATTTCCTTCCCAAGACGGCCGCACTGTTCGGCGCGCTGTGCACTGTTAATAAAATATTGCCAACTTTCACGTTTTGCGTCGACGGGCGGCCAGCGCGTGTCGTGCCATCTATGTAAGCCACGTGCACTGATCGATGCCGTCAACACAATTGTCGTCGCTCGAGCCAAACCACCATGAGGCATCTATGTCCCCCTTCCCTCTCAAAGGTCTTGAACGCGATTCAGCGAGCCCTCGGTCCGTAGTTCTTCACTGGATCTTCCAATGAGCTACTGATTTGCATACTAGTCTTTGTCTGGCAATGGATCTTCTTTCAGGCTACAGAAACGTCCAGCATATTGTGTGGGATCTTGCTCCAAGTTGAAGACGCCCACGAAACCTCCGAAACCAGGACAGTCTATCCCGGCCTCGATGTTGCTCACGGCCTGGCTTGCGATATTCTCGTAGGCTGCTTGACATCCTTCAATCTCCAAGTGGCCATTGTATCGGGCTCTCTTCTTGACCTCGTCGCCGGTTATAGACAAATGGGAATCATCACAAAGGACCACTATGAAATTATTCGCCTAATCGACAAGCGCATTCGTTTCCTCGCGTTAGCTGCCGCACCTCTTTACCGACCCTCCCGAGTGGGAGCCATATGATCCTCGTTTTATCGGTGTCCTTCGACTGGCTTTTTGTTATCGATACGCTGTTCTCAAGAAAGCCAGGCAAAATATCGACTTCGGTACTCGAAAGCTTTCTCCGGCTTCCACATTACCGGATCAAATCTGGCTCCAAATATTCCAAGCGGTATACACAAGGGAAATGGGTGGTAGAAAAAGCCTCGACGTCTGGAATCTTGAACGGGTTTCGTCTCATTTTAGGTCCCTCGCGCGCGCGCCTAGTCTTCGTCGCTCCTTATGCGTAACTGCAGTGCCACACAACTGGGCCCAAGCCTTCCTACTTGATAGCATATCCTGCTTGACGATTCAGCCCCAGACGCCTGTCTCGCTCGAGACGTTTGACGCCCGGCATACGCCCAACAGCCTCTGGGGTCCTAACCAAAGAATTCTTCCGCCCGTTATTGTATGTTCTTCTTAGGGATTGCGTACCAATTTTGGCGCAATGCATTTCCATCGATGGATTCAGTGATGCCGAGTTCGTCGATCTGCACAACGGTCTTGCCACAATCCGCCTACCGCGCTTGGAACGTCTTGGAATCAGAGCCACCCCTGCGTCGCCTGACGTTACAATCGAGGCGCCGTTCCTACGAGCCGTCTCATTGTACAGTTGGTGGCCCGAGCGCTCTATCTGCAAGCTCTCCCTCCCTTTTGCTCAGCTAACAGACCTCTCCTTGTACGGGGTATCTTCGAAAGAAACATATCAAGTCCTACAACTCGTCGACGTTGGGAGGCTCACGTCCCTCAAACTTCATATTTACAATCTCGGCAAAGAACACCCCCTGGGATTCCCTCGTCTCCCTCCCTTATCGTCAGTTACGACATTCGAATGCGAGGTTGGCGTTCCGCCGGCATGGAACATTCCTCTTCTGGAAGCGCTTCGTCTGCCGCAGGTGGAAGAAGTCAGTTTGACTTTCCACCATGGTATTGCAGCCTCCAATACGGAACAGACGTGTGTGCGAGTCCTTGATTTGGTTCATCTGGCTCCATGGGACGCGGTGCAAATCCTTACTCTAACTCTGAACGACGACGATCTTCAAGCATGGGGCCTCATAGCAGCTTCCCAGCGTATGCGTAATGTCCACAGTCTGACAATCGACGGTTATAGGACCTGGCAAGAGATTTTCACGCTGCTCTCTGACCCAGCTTGTTTTCCAAAACTAAGAAAACTGGTCGTCAACGCAGATGCCCTTATCTATTTTACTGGCCCGAAGAAAATCAACCTTGGAACTTCGGATAACCCGCGGTTTATGATGGATTATACACATTCGGATGAAGAAGAGCAATTACAACCTGTGATCGATTTTTTTGCAATCTCGGGCAAAACAAGACGACGTCACGGGTCCCTCGATGAATTCATCATTCGCTATGGTCATCCTGTCGGAAATCCCAGGGGAGATGTCGAAGAATACCTGCATTGGATGCTCAATGATGTCCGAGGTTGCTGCCGGGTCTTGGTAGAGTCATATAATGTTGGCCTTATACCCTGGCTTTGGGAACGCCAATGGTTGACGGATGGTTCACGATATAGGGCTCAAGGACACGAGTTTCATGGCGATAATTTTATCGTTGTCTAGAGACTGTTACGAATTGGGTAGACTACTTCCATATGCCAAAGCGATCACTGCTTTCAAGTTGTTCTACAGACTACCGCTGAGAATGGAGATTATCAACGCGCGATTTTGCCAAATATTCAATCTACTGACAAGGAGAATTCGAGACTGCAGGTGAAGTATTCGGCGTGCAAGTCAAATCGGGAGTTCTGTCGTGCTTGAAACTCAGTCGGGCGCAAAAGAGAACGACTTTATTATGTTGGACCTGTATGACATAAAGCACAAGTAATACTATGAGTAAAGACAAGAGAAAGTAGGATATAAGAAAGCATACCTGAGTCGGGCGCGATAGAGAACGACTGAGGTAGCTCCTGAGTATCGTATTAGGCGTAGCTCGATCGAAAAGGAGATTAAGGGGAACGTACATGCGCGCGTCTCTAGAGAGACGCGCCGGGGTGCCATAGTTAGGAAGCTCGGTGGGAATCCAACTAACGTAGACATGTGTTGAAATGGATGTTCTTCCCGGCGACATTTTATTCTCAAGTTCCAAGAAGGCAAGATCTGGGGCCAGTGTACTGACTTAGATTCCAGTTTAGAGTCGCCTTGCAGTTCGT